AAGACTTTAGAATTTGGAAAGATCTACCTTGCTCTTCGATATGCAGAATTAATATTATCAAAATGACCATACTACCAAAAGCACTATATATATTTAATCCAATTCCAATCAAATCCCAATCGCATTCCTCATAGAAATAGAAAAAGCAATCATGAAATTCATCTGGAAAAATAAGAGATGCAGAATAACTAAAGAAATCTTTAGCAGGAAGAGTGAAGCAGGTGGCATCACTATACCAGACCTTAACTATACTACAGAGCAATAGTAACAAAAACAGCATGGTACTGGCACCAAAAAAGACTGGTAGACCAATGGTACATAATAGAGGACACAGAGACTAACCCACAAAGTTAGAATTATCTTATATTAGACAAAGGTGCCTAAAACATGCATTGAAGGAAAGATAGCCTCTTCAACAAATGGTGCTGGGAAAACTGGAAATCTATATGTAACAAAATGCAAATAAACACCTATCTCTCACCATGCAAAAAAACTCAACTCAAAGTGGATTAAGGACCTAGGAGTTAAACCAGAGACTCTGTGTCTAATAGAAGAAAAAGTAGGCCCTAAACTTCATCATGTGGGATTAGGCCCCAACTTCCTTAAAAAGACTCCTTAGTTCAAGAATTAAAACCATGAATCAATAAGTGGATGGACTCAAACTAAAAAGTTTCTTCTTGGCAAAAACCATCTGTGAGGTGATTAGAGAACCTAAATCTTGGGAGCAAATTTTTACCCCTCACACATCAGATTGAGCACTAATCTCTAGGTTTTATAAAGAACTCAAAAAGCTAAACATGAAAAAATGAATAAATAAATAAAAACCAAAGCAAAATCCCAAAATAACCCAATCAATATATAGACCAAGGACAAGAACAGACACTTCTCAGAAGAGGATATTCAATGAATCAACAAATATATGAAAAATGTTCTAATTCCAGGAATTAGAGAAATGCAAATCAAAACAACTCTAAATTATCATCTCACTTCAGTCAGAATGGGAGCTATTATGAAGACAAGCAATAATATGGGTTGGTAAGGGTATGGGGGAAAAGTCACACTCATACATTGCTGGTGAGACTGCAAATTGGTGCAGCCAAGGTGGAAAGGGAGATTCCTTAGAAAAATTGGAATGGAACCACCATTTGACCCAGCTATCTCTCTCCTTGGTCTATACCCAAAGGACTTAAAAACACGCATACTATAGGGACACAGCCACATCAATGTTTATAGCAGCATGATTAACAATAGCTACACTGTGGAGCCCATCTAGATGCCCTTCAATAGGTGAATGGATTAAAAAGTGGCATATATACACAATGGAATATTACTCAGCAATAAAAGACAATAAAATCATGGCATTTGCAGGTAAATGGATGGAGTTAGAGAAGATAATGGTAAGTGAAGTTAGC